TAGTTTTTGTCATGTCACTTTATTCAATTATTTGTGATGATCTGCAGGTGTCCCTATACTTTTGTCCAGGTAGTGTAAATTTTATCGAAGTTGATCATTTGCACATATTTTTTTGTGACATTAATATTAATATTAATATTTAAATTTATTATTTGCGTTCAAACAAGATCATACTCCACAGAGTCAATAGTATTTGGGAGAAATAGGTTTAAAGTATACTTTAAGTCTAAAACTACATTTTTAAATAATTTTCGGCACCCTTTGTTCTTAAAATATTATAGTTAGCTTATAAGGGAACAATTTTTTCATGTAAAATTTAAAATTAACGTAAATTTTATTAAAATTGATCGTTTTTATATTTGATTATTGGATTAGATAATGAGTGACTTTTGTCTTTAATTTCATCACAAACAAAATTTGTGCTACATTTTAAGGGATAATAAATAACAGAGGGAGCAGAAATCAAAGATTTTTGGGAAAAACATGCACTTTATTTGTTGTTTATGTGCACTGTTAGTTTGTTTCTCAATCACCATAACTATGATAACTTTAATCAATGTTAATTGGGTTGTATAATGAGAAAGGTTATATTTCAAAGAACCAAGCTTGTAAATTGTACTGACATAAACCGTAAACCTTCATCCGTTGTTGTTATTATTATTATTATGCTACAATTCAAAAGCTATAATTAAAACAACAAAGTAACATAAAATTGTGAATTTGTAACAAAAAGTTGATTTAGTTGGTATATATCAGCGCCGTCAAAAAAATGTTAAATTTATATTTTTTTTTCTATTATAAACTAATTAAAAATGAAACAAATTAAAACTATTATATTTTATATATATAAAAAAAATCGAACCGCGTTCGAATTATCTTCAATAATTGTATGTAGAGTAACTTTTGCAAACACACGAGTTGTGTTTTTGACTTTGAAATTAACTACGCGTAATATGTGCTTGAGCTGGCTTTATAGTCTGAATTTGAAACACACAGACTGGTCAATATTGGTATTTTTACATAATAGATAAGACAGGTTTAGGTACAAAGAAAACAAATAAACAATGCTAAAATGCTTTTATTGTTGAATCACAATGAATCAAATCACTAGCTAGAGTTTGATGATGATGTTTTTTTTTTTTTTGATGATGAAATTTTTCTTTAAATATTGCAATTGTTACTTTTCAATTTTCAAGATTCAATGTAACTATTATTAAAAGTTGTTACCAAAGTAAAACTACATTTTAACTTCAAGGCTGAGATGCATGCATTCAGTGTTGAAATTTCAGCGCGGTGTTCCATGCACAATCCCTCAAAAGGAAACAAAATGGCCTTTAATAGTTTCTAAATTTGTAATGATTATAATAATTATACAATCAATCCAAAAAAAAAGCGTTTTCATTGAATTCGATTATAATGGAGGCCTGCGTAACAATATATTTGATTGATATAAAAACGATCGTCTTTCATAAATTTTTTTAATATCATTAAATCAATAATTTTTTGATAATAATGACTGATAATCTTGATAATATAATAGAAGTTGAAAAACAAAATATTA